GAGGAGGAGGAAATCAAGGTGAAACATATGTGGGAAAGGAAGGAGGAAGGGAGAGGTAGGAGAAGATGAGAAGATATTTGTTGATTGTGTTTTTGTGTATATATATAGATAAAATATATTCTATTAATTGTGTTTCTGTGTTTATATATATAGATAAAATATGTTCAATAAAAATTCTATCGATCATATTTTAAAATGGCTGTCAATTATATTTAAAATTAGATTAACCATGAAATTTAATTTTTTGGGGTGGGGATGGAGATATGGTATAATTGATAGAGACAAAATTGGATGTCAATTATAAAAGTATAATCGACAGCCACTATGACTATCGATTGTACTCTATAATCGACATAATTGGTTGTTGATTATACAAGTATAATCAATAGTCACTTTTGGCCGTTGATTAGGGGAAAGAAAGGAGGAGGGGAGAGGTAGGAGAAGATGAGAAGATATTTGCTGATTGTGTTTCTGTGTTTATATGTATAGATAAAATATATTCGATAGAAATTATATTGATTATATTTTAAAATGGTTGTCAATTATGTTTCAAATTAGATTAACCATAAAATTTAACTTTTTTTGGGCAGAGATGGTGGTATGGTATAATCAACAGAGACAGAATTAATTGTCGATTCAGTTACTATGACTATCGATTATACTCCTATAATCGACATAATTGATTGTTGATTATACAAGTATAATTGATTGTTGATTATACAAGTATAATTGATAGTCATTATTGACTGTTGATTATACTCCTATAATCGTTAAATTATCATAATTGACAGAATTTTTGTTGATTACATGAATATAATCGATAGCTTTTTGGATGTTAATTATATTTTTGTCAGATAAATGTTATTTTCTAATAGGGGAAAAAAGAGAAAACAGGAGGAAAAAAGAACCCAATTGCTGTCTAAGAAATATACATAATTGACAACCATAGTTGTCAATTATACAAGGTTTAACATAATCGATAGACATTTCTGTCAATTATATTATTATTTAATTAATAAATATAATTGATATCTAAAAGGCCATTGATAATACTCATATAATCGACAAAAATGTTGTTGAATCAGAATTTAGTTGATGATGTGTTGAAAAAATCAATAAAATCAACACATACTTATAATCAACAACTTTTTTATCGATTATATGAATATAATCAAAAAAATTTTAATTGTTTGATTATATTCTTGTTAATTAGACATTATTTTTTAATAATAATTACCCATTTAATTAATCAACCACTTGCCTAGCCTTACTCAAGACAAGACTCATTTGAGCTTTTTAAAAAAATATATACATTTGGTACTCAGAATTTTCCTTTCACTTTTACCTTTTTCCTTTTATAATACATATTTTGATAGGCACCTTGTACCTATGGATTAAAAAATTGAACATAACAACAAAAAATTTACAACAAGAGTAATGAGCCTGATAGTCTATGCGATTAGCATCTTAACTGGGTTAGAGAAATGTTAAAAAAGAAACACTTAGATTAGAGGAAGTTTTTTCAAAAACAAAAATGTTGTGCCCTTTTGAAACCTGAACAACTAAAATTAATATATGTAAAACAGACGTTGTAATATGAGATATTGTCTTACAATAGTTTTTATTTTGTAGTTTAAAATAATTCATATTTTAAAATAAATATAAATCTTGTTTATAATTTAAAAGGTGAAACAAAGAATTTATATAAAAATACTTAATTTAAACAAGGTGATTACGTGGCAAAATCAAGACCGTCAAATAGAGATGAGCTCCACAATGTCACCCGTGGCGGTGGATCTCAGTCCTAGATTAATTTTATATTCAACATTACATAGCACTTATTCGAATTTCGAATTCAACGGAAATGATACGGTGGAGCGGAGGAGTACGACAACCAACGCCCCGTTAACACTTAACCATCCAACGGCTAAAAAAGTTTAAAAAAACCTAACGCCGTCAAAACCCTCCGTCATTCTCCCCCATATATAAATTGCAAGCAACCCCCCACTCCGTCTATCTCTCCTTCTTCTTCTCCCTCTCTCCGGCAGCCTCCGTTCTTCGCCATGTAATTCCTTTCTCTCCGAATTTCTTCTGCAAATCTATCGTAAAATCTTACTTTTGTTTACGTTCCCGTCAATTTCCATCCAGATTTGTGTGTATTGATGTTTTCGAGTTATGGGTTTTGAAAAATCGTTTCCTAGATCTAGATCTGGATCTTGATCTTGGTGTTTCTGGATCTGGTTATGATTCGTGTTAGATCTTGGTTTCCGGTTCAATATTATGTTGTTGGTTTCATCATTTCTTAAGATCTGAGATTCAAAGGAGATAGATCTTGATTTGGGGTTGTTAATTTGGTATGTATTTGGTTTTCAGTTTAAGATGGGGCTGTCTTTTGCGAAGTTGTTCAGTCGGCTTTTTGCCAAGAAAGAGATGCGAATTCTTATGGTGGGTCTTGATGCCGCTGGTAAGACCACCATCCTGTACAAGCTCAAGCTTGGAGAGATTGTGACCACCATTCCTACAATTGGTATGTTCTTCTCCTCTGCCTTTACAAGTAATGCATTTAGTTGTTTATGTGTTATTTGATCGCTAATGATCTTAAATTTTTGCCTTCTTTTACAGGGTTTAATGTGGAGACTGTTGAGTATAAGAACATCAGCTTCACCGTTTGGGATGTTGGTGGTCAGGACAAGGTGCGTCGCTTTGATAGAAGTGCATTTCTTTTTTATAGGGTCTTGAGAAAAACATAAAACTCAGTCATACTTTGGTTTTGCTGGATTGTCTTGACTAAATTAAATGCAGGGCTAAAATTGTCGTATATGTTCTATGGCGTTGCATTATTCATGACCTTAGTTATGCATCTTGTTTAATAAATTGTACATGATTCTGTACATATCTAGATGTTTTATTGAGATTCAGACTCAGTGTCTGATGTTGACAAAGATGTGCTTATGGACGGTCCTGTGCTGAATGGGTTTCCTGTCTTTTGCACGTAACATAATCATAAGCTATATCAATTTTTGCCACCTTGTCTTTCGAGTTTTTCCTTATTGTATAAGGAAAAGCTATCCGCGATGTGGCAGACATCAGATGTAACTTACCTACTTTTGTAGTCTTGTCTCTTTGTTGTACAAGGGTTGGTCTTTTGCTGGTTATAGATGTTCATCTATCAGCACATGATATCGTATACTTTTGAGCAACATTTGCTGGAGTCCCTTTCTCTGTCGTGTTAAGGATTGTAGGCTATTTCCCGAAGACTTTGTATGCATATTCATGTTTCTATGATGTGTTGTAGTTGAAGTGCTTATTGACGGTCTTGTGCTGATTAGATGTTTACCCATCAGCACATAACATAATCATAAGCTATATTGACTAGTGCGACATTGTCTTTTCTAGTTTCTTCTCTTGTTGTGTGAGGGAAGGCTATTGGTAGCAATGTGGCATACAGCATATTCATTTACAGATAAATATTTTTTGCATGTTCTAATATAAAAGTTAGCAAATTATTGGCAGGTATTTGTTCTTTTCTTGTGATATATAAATTGAGCACCAATGCAAAATGATGTTCCTCTAAAAAAATTAGTGCACTGCAAAACCAAGATTGTTCCTTTATATAATTCATTTAATTTTCCTGGCGATATTTCAGAAGCTAAGGTATTGTTTGTTTTTAACATACCTGTTTAGTCATTTTTTTTGCTTCATCTTTCTTGTCAAAATAGCTATCGCTTTGTGTATGTGCTATTTCTTTATAATTTATGGGTCAGGCTTAATTTACTTTAATATCCTTTTTATGTACTCACTTCCAGATTCGACCCTTGTGGAGACACTACTTCCAAAATACTCAAGGGCTTATCTTTGTGGTTGATAGCAATGATCGTGACCGTGTTGTTGAAGCTAGGGATGAACTTCACCGAATGTTGAATGAGGTACGTCAATGGGTTTTTTTTTTTTTCTGCTATATGTTTGGGAGCATAAGCTGTTCAAGAAAGCATATAACATCATTTTACCACTTTTTTTTTATTTTTGTTATTGCTTTTCCTGGGTTGAATGCTCCATGAGTTGTTCACCTTGTACTGGTTTTTTTAGCTAATGGATTTGCTCTTTCCGTAAGTAGGATGAGCTAAGGGATGCTGTTTTGCTTGTTTTTGCAAACAAGCAAGATCTCCCTAATGCAATGAATGCTGCTGAGATCACTGATAAGCTTGGTCTTCACTCCCTTCGCCAACGCCACTGGTAATTCTTTATGAATCATTCTGTCTCTCCTAGCCTGTAGATGATGTATTTGATCCCAAATATAATTGAAATTTCATATTTGTTAATCATATTTCTTTCTGGCAGGTATATCCAGAGTACCTGTGCAACATCTGGGGAGGGGCTCTACGAAGGACTTGACTGGCTCTCTAACAACATTGCCAACAAGGTGTGTTTTAGTTTAATGTGGATATTACTGGATCCATTCCTATATTTTTGTCAATCTATTTTAATTATTCATGCTTTTCATGTTACCATTTTGCATGGCAGGGTTGAGGAATGAAAGTCAAATTACGATGGCATTTTGGGGAAGTGCCTTGTTAATCAAAGCCCCCTTTTCTATCCATTGGGCGGTGATGGATTTTTATTTTAACTGTTGCAAGAATGTATTCAGTTTGTGTTAGATATTAATGTGTTAGATTGATGTTTTACCCTATATATATAGATTGGAAAATAACTGTTTATTCAGAGTTTTCATACGTTGCCATTGTTGAGGCCTCACGAAATGTGCTCTTCTGATTCTGATGTGTCCATTCCTCCTCATCAAGCGATGATTAATGGTGGTTATGTTGATTCGCTAAGCAAGTTTTTCTCTCTGCATTAATGTTTCTTTCTATAAATTGTTCATTATACTTCCTTGGTACTTTTGTGTTATTATTATCTGATTCTTTACTCATCCCAAAATCAACTCGAGGGAGATGGAAGAGGGGAGGAATGCCATTTCATTCCGATTGAATGAATGAAGTTTTCTTTTTTAATCTACATTTTCTTCAAATCAAACTTTTAATAAATCTTTAAATATTTCTTTATTTTTATAGTTTGGTCTCCACCAAAAAGTATTTGACTTATGGTTGAAAGGCCTATTTAGGGTCCTCTTAAATTCCATTAAATTTCAGTTAAAGAGATCATCGATATAAATGACTACCGATTTGATTAGACAACGTTGGAATGGTTTAACTTAAGTGACGAACGAAATGGTTAGTTCAGGTTGGAACAAATTTTGGTATTTATGCTAAAAGTTAGCAACTAAATTTGATATTTATTTGCAAAGGAAAATTATTATATAGTTTGAATTGATTTGAATTGTAAAATAGTAATTTTTAGATAACAGAAAAAAACTTTTGATAATAGGATATTTTTTCATTTAAGGGTTTTTGTTTTATGATTTAAAATAATTTATATCATAAAACAATGAATCTTTTATTTAATTTTAAAATAACATTTTTTAAAATTTATTAAGTCAATGTAAGAGTGTGCTATAACAATTGTCATGATAAATTAAACTTTTATATTAAACTACATTATAAATAGTATTTTTTTTTCATTTCTCAATTTATTCTACAGCATGTCATAGGGCATACAATTATATATAGATAATTATTTTCACTGATATATATATATATATATATATATATATATAAAAGTCGCGTATATTTCTATATAGGGAAAGCTTGGAAATTTTGATCTTCTTGACTCTTTTGCCCGAAAGAATGCTACTTCTCTTGACCAGTTGACCTTTTGATTTCTGTCTTAATCTCCAGTGATTTTTGTTTCTTGTTCGGTTTAAGCGACTCATCCTGGCAAATACACAGCCACTTTTCCTTCAGCTTATTCACAAGTTCAACGTCCACGTTCACCCTTTCAGGTGTAAACCTCCAGGGCCTCAACTCAGGAGAGCAATAGTGTATCACCTTTACGTCGTTCAGATCAACACTCTCGTTATGGTTCTGCAGCATCGTCAACGCCATGTAGTTATGTTCTGGCAGTCCCATTAACTTCTTCCAGAAGAACTTATTTAGAAGAATCAGAACATGCAGCTGACAAACAAAAACATGTTCGCACCACGTCAGAACAAATAATGGTACAACATTAGCCTTGACAAAATTGAGTTTGACCTAAGGACCTAACCTAACCTATCAGCTATAAGTCAAGATCTGGTCTAATCAGTACTAGAAAAAGTGTTTATTTTGGCCAAATTTTTTTGGTCAAGCAAAGAGTTTGACCAAAATACTAATTAATTTGATCAAAATATTTAACCGAATTAACAAGTTGTCGGATTAAATCAATGGAGGTTGGGTGGTTCAATCTAATTTTTATTTGGTCAAGTATTTTGTCGAAAAAGTAGGGCACTAATTGGCATCATAATTATTCAGTTAAACATTTTGACTGAATTGCAAGAAATAATAAATAAATAATCTATTTTAGTCAAATAATTTTGATTGAATAAGTAAATACATTTTATTAGTTTTTTAAAAGAAAAATATAATTTTTTATTATTTATTTGGTCAAATTTCTTGACCGAAGTCATCTTGCCATTATGTTCTGAGTACTGAAGATAGTGAGGCCGGCTAGCAAGCGTAGTTTGGTCAAATTGCTTGATCGAACTAATTCTACAATTTGATTTGATTACTGCAAATTGTGGGGCCTGTAGATTCTCTATCAAATTCATTGATTGAATTGCTTATTTTGCAAATATAAAATGAGTTTCTTTAATTTGCGTTTAAAAAATGTATTAAATATATATTTTTTTGTTATAAATTTATATAAAAAATAAAAATTAATTTTTAATTTATCAATTATTTAATTAAATTCATTTTATATTAAAATTAATATTAATTTTTATATTTATATTTATATTTATAATAAAAAAAACTCTTAACATGTAATCGTAGGATATAAATTAAAAAAATTCATATAAAATTTATTCTGTCAATATTTTTAACCAAAATAATAAATTGCATTTCTACAAAATTTTGAAATACTATTGGGAAAAACTCGCAAAATTTTCATTCCTTGCTTATCTTTTTTGGTAAAAAATTTTGACCAAAATATACTTTTAATTTTTTTTGAATTCCCACCTTTAATAATTCGGTCATATTATTTGTCTAAAATTAAATTTATTCCCCCTCAATTTCATCTGAATTTGTTTGAAATTTCGATTGAAAATTTTGAAATTTTTGCCAAACTTATTTCGGTCAAAAAAGAAAAATACGACTGAATTGTTGTTATGCCTATTAAAATGCATCAACTCTCACAATTTTCATTTGTTTTCCCCTCTTTCTTCAACTTCGTCACTTCTCCTTCTATTCTTCTCTTTCCAGATTTCAACTTTCCCCGTTCTCTTCAATTCTCCTTCCTCACTTCTTCTTATATTACACTCATATTTACCTTTCTACATTACTATTTTATTTTCTCACCATCATTTCTATATTTCCTAATTACAAATTCCATTTTCTTTCATTATTTTCACTTCCATTTCTCGCCATATTTGTTAAATTTTATTAAAAAAACGTTATGTAAGTTTATTTTGAATTTTCATTATCTCATATTTTTTTAGTTTCTTATACTAATGATATATATTATTTTTTGTAGGATTTAATTCATTATAAATTAGGGCATCACTTGGAGTATATGGTATGCAAATAACTAAATTCTCATATCTAAGTTTTCTAAATTTTTTCTCTTTTTTATCTTGCAATTTAATTTTGATATTACAAATATTAAAATTAAAATACAACTGTTTGTATTACAAATATGTTTATAGAATTTATTATTATGTACCATAGATTTTTTTTAATATATACAAGTTTTTAATTTATATATTACAATTTATATCTAATTGTAGAAAATATTTTTTTTTTTTTGGTTTTTGCCTCATTATTTCAGTCAAATAAGTTGATTGAAATAATTTTTGCACAATTATCCCATTAATTACATTTTGTTCAAATAATTTGACCAAAATAATTTCCTTAATATTTTATTGTTTCTTAATTTTGGTCCAAATACTTGATCAAATTAATGAGTTAAAATGCTATTTATTTGTTCTCTTCTTTTGTCATTCCAAGGCCTTTATTTCGGGCAAAATTAATTACCAATTATTTAAAGTTTCGATCAAAATGAAATTTTGTCCAAATTGTTATTTCACACAATGAATATTCAAATCAATAATTCAGTCAAGCAATTTGACTGAATTGTTTCTTATTCAGTCAAAAAATGTCAAGTCCTAAACACACTCCTTTAAATGCAGGCCTGATATCAACTTCAACTTTAGGTCTTATCAGGTGGGCTAATAATGGGCTTAACAATAGGCTAGCAACGAGCTATCACATGGCTTAATACTCCCCTTTAAATGCAGACTCGGTATCAACTTCAACTTCAACTTTGGGTCCAATTAATTAAGCTATAGGTTTCCTAGGATAGAATCTAGATTTTGATACTATGTGAAAACTATACATGTGGGCTTAATAAAAAGTTTGCATCCAACTTAAAATTAATTAGCAATAAGTGGAGTAACCCTCATATTTAACTCACATATTTCTTTGTTTTAGACTCGATGTGGATTTTTCCACTCAATAATGATCCTATTTAGTTTGACTGGTTGATAACTATAGTTGTTAATGAATAGTTAATATAACAATTTATATCAATTTAAAATTAAATTATGTAAGATAATACTTTCAAACAGTTTAATAAATTATTTAAAGAAAAAAATTAAAATTAAGTAAAATTAACCAAACAAAACACACCTTTACTCTAATACTCCTATGTTGAGAATAATAAATGTTTTTTGATTATATCAACAAATTAAGGATTTGATATTCCATATTGAGAAAACCCATTAGAAGTTTGAAATAATTTAAAAAAGCGCAAAAAAGTAGCAGGTCAAGGTCAAGGTTCAAAATTGTTTTACGTTACCTGGGCGTCCAAAGGGATAAGAGGGATGCTTGTGATTATATTCAATAGAACCAACAGATCATTGAAGATGGGGGCTCCTGGTTCAAAGACAAACATGCTGGCATTAAAGTAGTAGGAAGGTTTTGGAGTACCGAACTCCGTAGGCCACATGAGAAATTCCGGCCATGGCTGGCGTGGGGCGTAGATGTAGCCGTCATTAAAGTCAAAAAGATCGTCAATGTTGGAGTACACCTGAACGTCTCCTTCCAAGTATATCATCTTGCTGTACTCCGCAAACTGCAAATTTCACAAACTAATCAAGTCTCATGACTACAATAAAATTATTTAGAAAGACTAATTACATTCCACAATTTACGTAAAAGGGTATACTTACTTGCCATATGCGAAGTTTGGAGTACTTTTT